ATTGCATAAGTAACTGTGGAAGAAATCAACTTAATAAGATTTTTTTTTTTTACTTTTAGAATGAACCTGTTATGAATGAATGGACATGTAATGTACCATGATTTATTTGAATTGGATGGAAATAAATATATTTGTGTGGTTAGTGTAGTGTACATTCTTTTATTGTAAAACTAGGCGAATGCCCGCGTGTTGCGCAGAAACACCTATATAATTGAAGTATTTACAAATATATGTTTTTTTAAATATAACATTAACGTTGTTGTTAAATTTGATATAATAATTTGTATACTAAATTAATATAATATATTGATTATTTTGAATTATATGATAATATATACATTTATTATAACTTCATAATCTCAATCGTTTCAATGACTTCTACCCGCGAGTTACACATGAATAAAATTAAATATAATATATGATTTAATGTTATTTATAATTGTTATTATTGTTAATTAATTTTTTAAAATTTATTTGCTTAATGTTTTAATTTTCATCATTATAATTATTTAAAACATCAAACATTGTTTTTTTATTTTAAAGCTAACAATATAATCATTTTTATAGAGTTATTTTTAACTATTGTTATTGTAAGTTATTTTAAGCTACTTATTTGGAAACTTTTAACGATTATAAAAATATATTTAGGAAATATTTTAGTTAAATTGAGATTACAATTTAGTTTTTGCATTTATCACTATAGTTTATCACTTTTAACTATTTACAAAATATTCTTTGGTTTTTTAAATAGAACATAAATTTATATTTGAGTTGACATTGTAATGCGCAGAAACATCTATATAGCTGAAGTCTTTAAATATATATTTTTTTTAAATATAACATTAATGTTGTTGTTAAATTTGATATAATAATTCGTATACTAAATTGATATAATATATTGATTATTTTGAATTATATGATAATATATACATCTATTATAGTGTCATAATCTGAATCGTTTGAATGACTTCTACCCGCGAGTTACATATTAATAAAATTAAATATTAATATATGGTTTAATATTATTTATAGTTGTTGTTATTGTTAACTAATTTTTTAATATTTATTTGCTTAATGTTTTAACTTCTATCATTATAATTATTTAAAACATCAAACATTATTTTTTTGATTTTAAAGGTAACAATATAATCATTTATATAGAGTTATTTTTAACTATTGTTATTGTGAGTTACTTTAAGCTATTTATTTGAAAATTTTTAACGATTATAAAACTATCTTTAAGAAATATTTTAGTTAAATTGATATTACAATTTAGTTTTTGCATTTACCACTAAAATTTCTCACTTTTAACTATTTACAAAAATTCTTTATTTTTTTAGTGGAACTGAAATTTATATTTAAGTTGACACTGTAATGTTATATTTAAATTAACAATTTAAGTATTTTGTCCAAACTGTTCAAAAATTGTAGCTTTAAACTGATAATGGTTTACATACAACAACATTTTAAATCTAATAAATTAAGTATAATATGTTAAAATTTAAAGACATAACTTTCAAAATAGAAGTAAAGATATTATTTTAAAATTGAAATTTAGTCTATTTATGATTACACTTTAGGTTTGATATTTATTTAAGCTTATTACCCAACTTATAATCATTATTAGAAAGACACTACAATTTATCACTTTTAACTATTTATAAAATATTATTTGGGTTGTTTAAGTTATACTAAAATTTATATTTAAGTTGACCCTGCAATGTTATATTTTAATTAATAATTTAAGTATTTTATACAAATTGATCAAAAATTATACCTTTAAAATGATAATGGTTTACATCCAACAATATATTAAAACTAATAAATTAAATATAATATGTTAAAAGTTAAAAAACATAATTTTATAAGTAGAAGTAAATATATTATTTTAATATTGAAATTTAGTTTATATATGGTTACACTTTAGCTTTGATATTTATTTAACCTAATTTACCAAATTATTATTATTATTATAAAGAAATTGAAAAGTTATGGGAGTTTCAAATGAATGTGGTGAAAAGAAAAAAGAATGGGAGTTTTAAATGAATGTGGTGAAAGGAAAAATGTTTCCTTTATAAATATATAATGATAATGATGATAATGATATCTTAGTTACTTTTTTCTATTGTATGTGAAGTAATTATACTACTTAGATTCCACGCAAAACAGGTGATGGTTATGAAAGGAAAGATGTCATTTAAATGATCATGATCCAGTATGTCTGGAGCTCCAACATTCACATAGAGCATATGTGTGTCTTTTATTTTTAATTTTGGCATTTACTAAAATATAATTATATAGTTTTCAATCAATGGTTCATTGTCACTCCCAACTCCATCGTGAATTACTAAAATGAAGCCATCTCTTTCGTGAAGGTCAGTTTAGAAATTTCGTATCACCATTTTCATCTTAATATTAAGTTTTTAGTAAACGGTAATTAACATAATTTCATTCCAAGAACAAAGTATGTTGCTCATGTTTATAACAAAGTGCCTTGATTTTTCTTGTGTTTATACTTTACAGGAGAATCTAAGTTTTTTTTGACCTGTGTGTCATCTAACAACTAAGTATAACCAGAAAAGTTTTTTTCTTTTTTTTTTTTCTTTTTTTTTATAAAAAAGTACATTACAATCAATTGTGTATATTTACCTTTTAATCCAATAATAGCACTGACGTTATCTATTGTTACAAATAATAGCAACATACTATTCTTATCAACCAATAACAACAACATACTTATATTTTTATGTGACTGCGTCTATGTGTTTGTGTCGTATGTGATTGCATATATATATATATATATATATATATATATATATATATATATATATATATATATATATATATATATATATATCTATATATGAATTTGACTGTGTATCTATACGTGGTTGTGGTAGGAGAGTTGGTTGTCACATGGGAGGTGGGGAGGGGTATATTGGTCATTTTGAAGAAGATAGTTAATTAGTATGCATGTGACTGTGTGGGTAGCTGTGACAGGGTAAGGGATCTCTCACAATGTTGATAGGCTCCATAAATGTTATAATCGGTTGTTGTTATGGTTTTCTCACAGTTTTTAAAATAATGAAAAATTTTCCATTGGGTGCAATTCTTATTCTACTTGGGCCCAATCATAAATTATTTGATATTAAGAAACATTTTCCCTTGACTCTTCATCAGGAAAATGTCGTTACTTAAGTGATTGATGATGGGAGAATGTTCAATTCTTTTTTTACACGTGTTCCACTCAGCGTAAACTCACTAAAATCAACATGTGAATAATTAAATTCAGAATCATCCTATTAACTACCATATAAGTTTCACTGGATGCTCTTTTATTGTTGCTGGATAAACCATAAAAGTTCATTGTTGTTTCCCCTGCATACATGGCGAAGTGGATTTAGATTCAGATTTTAGATCTTTTAATGGGGTATGTTGATCGCTTACTAGGCTTCGATGTTGAGTAGTTTTGGTGTTGCTTAAAATCTTTTGTGTGACAACCCAAAACTTTTTCCGTTATCCTTACCCAATTTCCGTTGATAAAATTTGGGTTTTATTAAATTCCGTCAAATTTCTTAGTTTGAGAAAGACTTTACGTTTTAAATAAATAATATGTATTTTATACGAGTCGGAATGAACCAGAATCGCGAAAAAACTCGAACCTTCACTCAAAAGTCACCGAGTTCACGGTCAGGACGAGTTTACGACCGTAAACTCGTGTAGACCGTAAACCCGTTTACGGTCAGGTGGACCCCCCTTTTTGACCGAGAACTCTACCCTATATATAGAGTATTTGGCCTTCATTTCACACTTTAAACACTTCAAAGGCTTTCTCTCTCTACTCTCTCTCTACCTTCATCAAGTTTCCTCCAAGATCTTTAAGTTATCTTCAAGATCCTCAAGAACACGATTGTGTTTTGGACCGAAAACACCTTCTTTGCCTTAAAAAAAAATCGTAAGTATCATCTTCCCCTTCATGAATCGAGTTAAAATCCTTCATTTTGGACTTAAGATCATCACTTTTTGCTTGAACAAAAGAGTTTACGGTCCTATGAATCTTCATAGACCGTAAACCCTTATAAAGGGTGTTCTTATAGCCTTTACCCTTCCTAAGGCTAAGCATGGTCCCTCGAATCCGATGCCTTTGAATGAAGCCCTTGAAAACCATCATTTGTGCAAGATTGATGAGTTTACGGTTGAATCTCCTTAGACCGTGAACTCCATGACTGTAAGGTCATTGGACCGTGAACTCCATGACCGTAAGGTCATTGGACCGTAAACACTAAGACCGTAAACACTAAGACCGTAAACACCTAAGACCGTGAACACTTGGACCGTGAACTCCAATGGTCATACCTCTTTGACCGTAAACTCTATAGGGTGGTCATATACCCTAGTTATGCAATCATATGTGATTGTATCCCATAAATCTTAGAGTTTCCTAGCCAATAAGGGTGTTACCCTTCTTATTTAGTCGTCTATACACTAAATTCATACACATACATATCTATATGTGTCTATTAGGATCATTGTGTGCTCAAGGTTACACCTGACACTCTGCACTCCTCTTCCAACCACACGTCAGAACCACTCACTACAGGTGAGTTCATACCCCTACATTTTCCGTGTTTTTAATGTTTTCAGGGGGGAATACAAGCCAAACTCAAAGTATTTTATTAAGTTTTAAACTTATTAATACAATCCAACGATATCTACGTTTAATAACATATTCAGATATTTTATCACTTTTTAATATGTTGAGCATGAGGGAAACTTTTATATTGGAAATCTAATTTCATAGCTTTCAGAAAGGTTTTTACAAAACATTTTCATATCAATTCTATTAAACTATAATGGGTATAGTTTGGGATAACCCTCTAGGCAGTTTTCACCAAATCAGATTTCATGAATCTACCTTCTTAATAAAAGAGTAGTTTTTCTATGCCACGTGTCAATTTATTAGCCATTTCGCCACGTGTCACTTCCTTAGCAATTTTGCCATGTCGCGATATACAGCTTGTATTGTAAATAAGCCTAATCCCCCAAATCTCGGCGACTTTAAATGGCAAGTTACTATCAGTTTGCACGAATTAAAGATAAGAAGAGGCTTATTTCAAAATTTGAAATCCAAAAAGGGGTTTTCTATAAGTATCCCCGTTCCTTTTCAAATTTCACCCCCTTGATTTGATTTTTTTTTTGTTGTTGTTTTTTTGTTTTTTTTTTTTTTTTTCCTATTTTGTTTTTTTGTTGTTTTTAATTCTTTTTTAATTATTATTATTATTATTATTATTATTATTATTATATTATTATTATTATTATTATAAATTTCGCACAAAATTTTAACATTCGGAAGACATTATAAATTCAAACGGCTATATAAAATCGGTTTTTAAATATCTTTTTTATATTTTTTAGTTACGGACAAAAAATTCATTCGAATTTTATAATGTCGTGCGAATTTATAATGTTTACCGAATTTTAAAATGTCGTCCGAATTTAATAGTAATAATATTAAAATATAAAATAAAAGGAAACCTAGCCACGAATCTCCTACCACCTCCTCAATCACTCTTCATCCTTTGGTATTCAACTAGCAAAGCGTCTTCCAGCCACAGACATCCTCTGGTACCGTCAATTATGGGGGTCAATTTTTTGAAATCAGGAATTCCCCTTTACACAATTACACTATTCGCTTTCACCCTCGACACATCTTTCTCATTTTACTCGGTTCATTTGTTGTTTGTATCAACTTTAAGATAATTATTGTTTCATACTTTAGGTTAATCGGTGGATTCTTCTTCTTGTAGGTCTGACGACTTCATCTTCTTTAGGTTAGTAGTTTCATTCAATAGCTTCTTTTGATTTAATGGTACCCTCTCATTGAAAGTGTTAAAATTGAAATTGACAGTTTTCTTCAACAACTTCTTCCATTTCTATAGGCTGTCTTGAAAATTAATCCTTCGAGTCTATGGTTGGACAGTCTATGATTGAAATTGATCTACATTTTCCTATTTGAACGTACAAATTAACAGATAAAGTTGTGTGCAGAATTTTAATGAATGTGTAGATCAAATCAATGAGATTTTCACTTTCTTAAACTGGTTTTCGATTCTTAAGAGCATATTAACGGCCACAGAATGTTTATGCTTTTAGTTGAAATTGAAATTTAAATAAGAGGAATAATATTATTGTTTTTACGCATGCATATTAGAGATTGGGACCAAAGTTGTGGTTTTTCTAAAATAGTTATTTAAAGTTACTTATTTTTTATATGGGAAGTTGTGATTGAAGTTTTTTATTATTCTTCAAATGCTACGTTAATTTTTAAGACAAATAGTATGATACTTTCATTTTTAAGCCAAAAACAACATGATACTTTCATTTTTAACCCAAAATTAGCTTGATACTTTTACTGCAGGATATAGCCTTTAGTGGTGGCAAACCAAGAAAATGAAGAAACAATAATAATGCCCAGATAAGTTTTTTTTTTTTGAAAGTATAATGTTATAATAGGTAGAATTTTTGAAGTCTAATGCCTTAGTAGAAAGAAAAACGTAAGGAACGGTGTAGTAATAAAAAGAAATATTAGTTATGCTATAATACACAAATAAATGAAAAGACTCTATGATTTCTTACATTTATCCATGAACTCAAATTTGCTTTTATATTAAAATTTACAGCATCTGGTGCACTATTGTATAGTTATGGTCATGGATTAGGACAGTTGGAAATTCATATATTTTTTCATAACAAAGGCTGCTTTAAGAGGTTGTATTTGAGAAAAAAAAATGTTCAGATGGGATTTTTATGTTAGGTAATATGCAAGGTGAAGAGATTTGTAATGCTTAGTTTTGAATTAGTTTTCTTTTTCTTTTGAAATGTGACTACTCTTTAATGTATAGGTAGGGGCAATTTTCTAAATAAAGAAAATGCTAAAGGGGTTGGCAACTTAGTTTCATCATATAACAATATTCTTTCTCAATATGGTAACTTAGTTTCATCAAAAAAAATATCACAATCCCCATAATAACCAAATACTCTTGCAATTCCATTTTTTACTTGAGCCGAGCATTTAGCAAATTGATAGTTTTTGATAGTTATTTCAATGTACTTTTGGTTTAAGTTTCAATCACACTTTGGTTTCATAATCTCAGCAGGTTATATTGAAGCTAGAGGAAGGTTGATCTTGATACTAATATAGTGAGCTATGTTGGAAATGACATCTTTACCCCTGGTGTTGTTGGGAAACCTTCTTTTCTTAGAAGTTAACAAATTTACCCCTAAGTTGGACCTTCTCAGTTCCTATCTTTGGTTAGTGATGTTGCATTATCTAACTACAGTGGTTTGTCATTGTTTTTCTGAAATGACATCTTTACCCGCCAGGTGTTGGTTCTGTTAAATGCTCATATCAACTCAGAATTGTTGCTTCTTTACTTGGCCTTAATCTATAATGATATTCATGGTGTGCCACAACATATCATTGCTATTAATTGCTTGGTGGGTGTAGTTTTTTTTTTCTCCACGGTTTCAAGGTCTCATACAAATCAATAAATGGATTTAGTTTGATCAATTTATATGTTTTCATTGATTGATTTGGGTGATACACATATCTGTTGGGTGTGCTTAATGTGGGAGATCTTCTCAAGTTTGGGGTCATCATTCGAAATATAAGTGGTTATATTTGTAAATTGCATGCTGGCTTTGTAGTCAATTGTCCAATTTTTTTATAGGAACGTTGTATTTTTATGTATTGTTTTATTATTATTATTATTTATTTATTTATTTTTCTAATTTCATTCATAAAGTTTGATGTATAAAAGGATAGTAGTTATTTAGTATAAACTAAAATTAGTATGTTTTATTAGTTGATGTATAACGATGTCATTCGGTTTTTTTGACCAATTGAATCGGTTAAATTCAACTACGTTGAGTTGACCAATCTATGACCATAGCACCCTTTAAGATTCAAATATGTTGTTATAATATTTATTTTTAATGTTTTTTATTTTATAAATAATAAAAATAAGTTACAGTAAACCAAGTAGTAGTGTAAAAATTTTCAACAAGCCAAATATAAGGAATACTTAATATATATTTTATTTTTAAAATAAAATAAAATAAAAAACTAATATATATAAAAAGTAAATATAAAAAATGTAATCTTTATTTATAGATATTATTGTATTTTAACATGTTATATTATTTGGTATAAAGAATTGATAATAACAAGGTTACTAATGTTTTATGATTTTAGTTTTAAAGTATTTATAAAAATATCTATGAAAACTTAAAAACAAAAACTTCAGAATTAGATAATGTTGACTTTGAATATATAAACAATTATTTAAGTTAAACGAAAAAAAATTATACATATGAAGGGTTTCATGTAACTCTAACTCTATTATTGTTGGACGAACATCGAAAACTTTTTATTTTTCATGACAACTTTCTTTTTCTTCGTTGTAGAAGATTAAACTTATATTTTTTAATTTTTAATTTTATATTGAAAATGAAAACGACATAAGAATCAAAGTATAGTGTTTTTTTTTTTGTGTAAAAATGATAATTTTGACCTTTTAGTCAACTTGGTCATAAAATTGAAAAAAATAAAAGTACATATCTTCAATTTTATAAAAAGACATTTTAATTTCAATATTCAACTTTCAAAGTAAAATGTTTTCTTTCACTTTTCACAGTTTTCCTTATTTAAGCATTATATTACCATTTATGTTTGTGGTGGCTACGAGTAGTTTATTTGAATTTTATAATTTTTTTAATATATCAACCGTGGTTTCCATGGATTTAAACAAATATGTTATTGGTTTTATGGTATTGAAGTTTTTCAAATACTTAATTATTTGTTTAATTTTAATGTCATTCTTAATATACTTTTTATTATATAAAATATAAAAGTATAAGTTTTTAGCTGAAAACTAACATCTATGCGATGTTGGTCAATTTGGTCATTTTCACCCTTTTTTATGTCATTTTTATCATTTCGACGATTGTGAATATTTCATATGTTTGTAGACGACTTGATAGAAAGTTTCACTTTTTGGCATAATATCATTTCTTTTTCGTTAATTCACAAATAAATTTTTTCTCATATATCTTGAAAAATAATTTCATATATATATATATATATATATATATAATATATATATATATATATAATAAATGATTATAGTTTTACAAAAATAAAAAATATAGATCTCTTAATTAATAATTTATTTAAAATAATTAATTATTAATTATGAATTTTTATTATAAAATTTTAATTATGAAAAGCAACCATGGTTCCCACGGGTTATAACCTAGTAAATATGTATAAACTATGGCAGATTTAGTTTATGTTATATATTTTCTCAGGAGTATAAAGTACTATTATTCAAGGTTAATTATTGTTTTATACTGTTTCTCGCTAGTAAACTAGATTATACAGAATTGTGAGGCTCTACTTCAATACTGTACCCTTAGGTGTACAAGGCTAAATCCTATCTAAGTATAACCAGAGTCTCCTGGAGGGAGAGCGTGAAATTTATGAATAGATCTATTCGGGACTGACAATCCCACACCAGAACTGCTAGCTACAGTTAGGCAGGCATGCCTGTGGTGGACAAATGTCATTTAGCTTAAACGCCTGAAGAACGTTATAAAGGTCTCTAGGTCATATCAAGTATGGTTATACGACTCGTAAATAAGTATAAACTAACTTTGGTTTTACGGACTCTACTCTTCATTTGTTTTATTTTGAGTAATAAAACTACTTTCATATATATACTGATAGTAATCAGGGATTTCTAAACTTGCATCTCTACCTCTAGGACGGATAGCATGTTATTAGGGAAAATATAGGATTTTCCCAGGATAACACCGACATTCTAAAAACTGATGATTTATTATTCTACTAATGGATATTCATATTCATTCCATGACTCCTTGGATTGTGCATATCTAGTATGAACCGAGAAGTCATGGAAGGAATGGGTTTTCAAACACGTTTTTTTTATAAGAAAATATAGGATTTTCTTGAGGAACACTTTTCAAAAGGATTCAAAGAACATTTTCCACCAAAACTAAATGCTTATGAACTCACCAGCTTTATACTGATATTCTTTCAAAACTGCTTGTATTCTCAGGGAATTAGTGGACAGGTACTTCCAGGATTTTGGAGAAGTCGGTGCGTTAGAGTCACGTCTTTCCATTTTACTTTTGATAAGAACAAAACTATGTATTAAGACAATGTAAACCTTTTTCATATATGTATTCAATGTTTGGTTGTGTTTACTATGCTTGCTATGATACAACTGTTATGATATTACGCATGACGTCAACCACCCCCGAACGTTTCCGCCGTTCCGGTTTGGGGGTGTGACAGATTGGTATCAGAGCCCTTGTTTATAGCGAACTAAGTATACCGAACCTTACATGGTATACAACTATAAATACTAAGGGGCCTAAGTGCTCTAAACTAAAGGTATACTTTCAAATATATAAGTATTTTTATAACAAAGTATATAAGTATACCCGAGTACCAGAATCCGTGTCATAAGTAGAACAAAACAAAAGTATTTGGATGTTGGACATCACGGTTAAACCTGGGCAGTTATGTAATCATGTCTAGGATCAATATAGTCTGATCAACTATATTCATTCGAGACATGACCAACATGTGCATGGGAGTGACTGTGGTGTTGCAGCAAGCCTAAAACTTACCTAGATACCAGAGGAGTTCTAGCGCCAAACATAAGGATTAAAATACTATAGGAGTATTTTAGGATGCTATAACGACTAAGCCGGAAACTTACCCAAGAATCTATTATTCAAGGATCAATCATGTAGCTATAATACATTGGAAGTATTATAGGATTCGATGCCTATTAACTATTCATTTACCATCACCTCGCGTAGATAGCATGGCTGGATTCCATCTTCCTGGCGACCCATACTTTCCCAACCAAGGAGATGATGGATGGATCGAGCCAGAGCCAGAAGGGAACCATGAAATTCCTTTGGACGATGACTTTGCCGAACCATTTCCTGAAGAGACTGACTCGGAACCCGAAGTCGAGAACCTACCTCAAGTGGCCCCAATGCCAAACCCTAACCCTCGAGTTGAATTCCAAGGTCCAACGCCTATGTGGGTCGGGAGTTTGAATAGGTTGAGCCACGAGCAAGACCAACCCCTCCCATACAACGGAAACCGCAACTTCTACAATCTGAACGAAGGAGGACCCGCAGACAGGGCTCTTCCAATCTTGATACGACGTGTGGCTCGCAATGTGGAGCTAGGTATGGCAACCCTTCAGCGAACTGTGGAGCTCGAAGCAGATTCGGACACCAGCACGAATCGCATTCGTCGCCTCGAGATTGCTCATGCGAGAGCTGCAAGGCACAATGTAGCTCTGCAACGAGAGTTAGCTACAACCCGAGCCAAAGTCATAGAGCTCCGCGCACGCCAGACTGAGTACGAGAGACGCCTGCTTGGTGTGGAGCGTCAACTGGCCGAATTAAGGTTTCACTTGAGGAGTACCCGTCGCCGATAGGGGGATACTCTACTCATCCTTCCTTTTTGGTCTACGGAATAACTTTTATGTCTATGTTCTGAGTAGCTCTTTTCCGTAAACATCTCTATCTAGCATGTTGCCAAGATTTTCTCTCTATTAGTATGACTTAGACCTACTTTTAGGTCAAGGTTTCCGAAATATGTGTAATCTCAGTTTCAGTTATGATGGCAACAATCATATTTCAGTTAAAGATTATCATTTTCAAAAGTATACCTTAGATCGGTAGCATGCAAATTAAGCAACTTTATCAAGGTCCTATCACTGTTTTGTCTTCAAAACATGTATCATAGGATGTACTTAGACGATCATTCCTTTTCCCCATCGATTTCATATCAGTCTTCATGAAAAACTTCGATGTCCTAATCGACATGAGATGGTTGAGCCCCAAATCATGCTGATGTCCTTTGCTTCGAAAGGACGATTCGTCTCAATCCTTCCATCTGACGAAGTCCTCACTGGTTATAGTGATAAAATTTGTTCGAACCTTCGTATCATTTCCTGCGCCAAAGCACAGAAGTATCTGCGAAAGGGATGCCATGCATTCCTGGCTCATGTTGTCGATGAGACGCAAAAAGTTAAAGACCTCGAGAGCATCTACGAACTCTGTAACTTTCCTGATGTCTTTCCCAAAGACATTCCAGGAATCCATCCCGAGCATCAAGTTGAATCCTGTGTCGACTTGATCCCCGGAGCTACCCTTATAGCTAACCCTTCATATCATCTAGAGCCGGAGAAAATGGGGGAAGTTATCCAACCAGCTCAATGAGCTGAGCAACCAGGAGTTCGTAAATTTATTGTATGTGAATTCTATTGTGTTCAGATATTTTCTATTCCTGCTAAGACCACATCATGGGGATGTGGGTCGAATCAATGAGAGTCAGATAGAAAAACGGGAAATCCCAATGCATAGATAAACATTTAGGATACATCCAGAGGCAACCATTGTTGCTCACAAACTTCTTCTCTTGACATGTAGCAGATCATGCCTCCGAAGGAACGTAACCAACCCACCAGTAAGATACCAGTACTCCAAATGGACTCAGCCACGTTCCAAATTACTGTCACATCAGCCGTAGCAGCCGCCCTAACTGTTCTTAACGCTAACAACCTAAATGGGAATGGGAACAGTTTCCACACCTCGAACTGTAGCAACACACCAGGAAACCAACAAG